AGAAAGACTAAGCCAAGAAATACATAAGCATGGTATATTTTTTAGAAAATGTAGCCCTTTCTATTTCTCTTGGCAAACAAAGTGTCTAGTATTCAATACATATCTTGTGAACCAACTTCAGGCCCAGAGCTGCTTTTGAACTGTTTGCTGTGATTCTTCATGTGCTCATTTCTTTGTGTTACTGGTCACATGGTAACATTTCTGATTCTTGGATGAACGATGTTTTCAAACAAAAAGAGGGATTTGGACACATTGCTTTTGGTTCAGGACTTTTCATGAATGCAGCCGTATGAAAATGTATTGCATCAGTGTTTCCTGGATACTTACTTTTGAAAGAAAGATTACTTATGTGAATGAAAGTTTGTGAAAAACAGTAATACTGAGACATCACGATTTTATAGGAGCTAGGGCTGATAGTTAATTTCTGAGAGTAGCAAACTATGATTCAGGGCAGTACAGAGCAGAAGCGTGAGCCTGGCAGAAACTGAGTGTATGCCAGTGCTTAATGGTTGCCACAGAAGTGCGACTTAGAGCTTGAAGTAAGATTACAGTCAGGAGGATTGTGGGGCTTACCTGCTGTTTCACGGTATATTTTCATAAGCAGCTTGAGCATTTGGCTCACAGCCTTCTTTCTTCCCCTGCTCTGGTCCGTAATGCCCCACGTCTGTGTCAGCTGCAGCACTCAGCGGACCCCTGTGAGCTAATTCACCTCATTCACCTTGCAGAAAATTGATGCATTTTGTCATGGGTCAATTTTCAGTCAGGCGATGAACTGTATCTGTTCACTGGGAGTCCAACAAGCACCTCAGTGCAAGGTAAGAAGTGGCAGCGTACAGCCAGAGGGGGAAAGGGAACCTTTGAAAACAGTCTAATGTTTGTCTTTTGAAATTACATCCTTCCAATATTTGACTTTCCCTGATGAAAACCACTGGGACATAAGCATTGCATGCTGTTTGCCGTCTTGTTACTTAAAGAATACAAAGTATCCAGCCATTAACTCCTGTACTGCGGATTTCAGGGTAGGAAAAAGGGACCACCATTCCAGCTCACTTAGAAAGGAAAAGGCTGCATGTCTCTGTCACCAAAGTGCTCAGAATGAGATCATGTGCCCCAGGCAAGCCCAGATCCCTGCAGTCACAGATGTTAGTGAGAGTTGATGGGAAAAAGTGGCTTAGTGCTATGCTTATTCTCCCTTTTTTCTGGCGACAGCCAGGGGCTACTGCAGGCTGTAGTGAAAACAGCAGCAGCCGTGCGGCGTCTCCAATGATGACATCAAGGTTATAATGCATTATGTTTTTGTCTGAGCTGCATATTTTCTTTCTGTGGAAAAGAAATGATACATTATAAAGCAAAACACATACATTATAAAGCAAGATACCAAAAGCACTGAAACAGCCCAATCCTCATCTAATGGTAGGAGCAGGCTGCAAAGGATTATCACACTATATTATCTCTTTGAAAGATCAGCTGACAATTATGTGCCTTTCTGGAGGGGGACAGGCTTTTGCCAAACTCATGTCACTGGGCACCAAGCTGAAGGACTAAAATAAAATACGTAGTAAGTGAGGCCAGACCAGCTGACTACAAGCTTACCATCTGAACCCAGATCCAAGATATTCCATGTGCTGGCTTTAAAATGCTGGTGGTAAAATGATTTATAATATCACAGCTAATTCATCTTTAAAAAATGGGTTATTGTCAGTGCCAAAATCTACAGTATTTTATTTCATCAACAGTAAGTGAACTGAAGCTTCACCTTGAATTCCTCCAAGGGTAGATTTGTCTCAGTTTATCAGACTTGTGGTTTTTCAGTCTGTATAAAGCCTGCCAGCTTGTTTGCATCAGAAGATTCATCTAGGACTTAAACTATGACCGACTAGAAATCTGCATAAACATATTTAAAATCCTACACCAAGTAGTCTACTGCTAAAATGAAAGGTGAACACATAGCTGTGGTGCACCCCTGGCTTGTTAATCTGCCATCCTGAGCGTCTATCATTCAGGCAATTTCACAGATTGAAATTAAATGGCAAGGTGCATCCTCCACCAAACCCAGACCTTTCACCTGTCACTTTCTCAGTATTTAAACTGCAAAAGAACAGGGTGGAAAACAGGTTGCTTTCATCTATACCTTTGCAATTCAGCAATCCCAATACAACCACACTAGACTAGATGGGAGCAGAATCCAGGCCAAGAGAGATACATATTCTGCCACCTACTGTGCATCACAACCTGTCTGTCACTGGCTGAGGAGGGGCACTTTTTCCTTGCTTCAATGAACATGCAATGAGGTTTAAAAAAACCTTTCAAGAATCTATGTACAAAGCTGCATATAAGCAGTATAATCAATATCTAAGCTGCGTCCTTCTCCACTGTTGTCCTACTAACATTGCTAACATAGTTGATCTTGGTGAAAAATCAGGGTTGTTTTCTACTTACATGGAAAATAACAGCACTGTTTTGTAGCTGGCATTTGAAAACATCCTAAATGGAAGCTGCCATTTTTCTGAGAAGGCAAATTGCTCCTAGCAAGTTGTTTTCCCTATCTGATCTGTTCTTTGTTGGAGTCTTTCCTGTATGAAGCTTTCTACAGGAAATTTTCTCTCACCATCAAACTGATTAGTATCTTCCATCTCCGTTTCTCCAGAAAACTAACATCCCTGTGCTAGATAGGAACATGAGGCTTGACTGCCTAAAACTTCATGGAGACAGAGTGTGAGAAACTGGGCATCAAATGAAGCCTTAATAATATCCAAGGAACAGTTGTGTATGCAACAGTGAGGGGGCACACAGCCATCCTGCCTGGAGGCAGGAGCCATCTATGAACAGTAGGATGCTGGTAGGCCACATGGATGAGACGAAGGAGGAAATGAAGAACAGAAAAGAAGGGAGAAAAAGATGGCAAATAAGAATGATCCCTGGAGGCTGGAAAATGAAAGGTCATTTAAAATCAGTCTTCTATTTCTGAATTTTGAATTTTCTTGAAGTTTTCTTACACAATTGTTATTTGTGAAAGCAGCCTTTGATGTAAATGGACTAGAGTGTTTTTGTGAGACAAGAAGTATATTGAAGAGTACCTGAGAGATCAGTGTAAATTAATGCATTTACTCCTCAGGGGGAAAAAACATTCAGTCAGCATGAGCATCACAAACTGAAAGTGGTTATTTCCACCCACTCTCCGCTTTAACACCATGTCTCACCAAAAAAAGAGTTCTTATTCCAAAGATAACAGTCATTCAACTTCTCTTGTACTGTGACAGTACAGTGGGGAAGAGAGCCTCCATGTCTAGAAAACCACACAAGGGCTACTCTGCTGTACCCCATGAAATAATTTCTGGCTCCAAACCTGGAAGTCTGCTCTACCAGGATCAAGTCCTTTGACTTCATGGAATATATCAGTCCTGATAAAAACCAGATGTAGTCAGTTCACCCCACTTGTTTACTAAGTGGGAGAAGAATAACTCAACTGTTAACAAACCTCGTTTACTGCTGTTTCAAAAAATAAAATTATTTGCTTCAGCTGACGTCTGTGCATTTCAAGTGTTTTGCTGCTTACTACCTTGATGGGAGGACAGAACAGAAGAGAGTAAAAATGCTAGAATGCAGGCCAAAGATGCACAAGTGTGGTAGCAGCTGAGCAGTAGGGCACATGAAATCTGTTCTCATGTACCTCTTGTTTGTGTGGGGTGTTCTGGTGTCTAATAATATGACTGAGCTCATGTGTAGCCTTTTACATTGGATCACGAGATTGTATTTCACTCATCTGGAGGGCTGCCTGTTTTCACAAAAGCTGTAGGAATATAATACCTTTGAGAGTTCTAGCATTCTACCTGATTTGACTGAAATTACTCAATGGGTTATACAACTATTGGAAGGAATTGTGACAGCACAGGCCAAAATACACGTAAAGAAAATTCGTTCATAATTTTCTCCTTTGCTTCTACTGATTAGAGAGTCTTGATTTTTTTTTTTTTTTTTAATAATTCAACTGCTTTTGACATTAACAGTCCAGTCATGTCAATCCTGGATCCAGGTACAAGATGAGTAGACAATCAGCACAATCCTAATTGTGCAAAGACGAAAAACTGAGCAAGTGACAAGGCTCAGGACTTTTAGGCAGGGTGTTTACAATGGTGTTTTTATTTTGTTAATGACTCACTGTGCTGATTCACCCATGCTTTAGTGAAAGCTGCCTTGTTTAGAGATTCTCACTGTTCAAAGAGTAAGATTATTTCCAGTAGAAAAGCTTGCAAAAGTTCTCTGGCAAAACTAAAGACTAAATAAAACTTGATATTTTAAAGTAAAAGACCATGCAGATAACTTTAGTTTTAAGCAATGGCAAAACTTTTTTTATCCACCATAAAATTGTTTTTCTAATTTTTTATTGGGAAGCCAATGTTTTTCAGTACAGACTCAAAAGCCTTGAGGTATCCAAAAATATAGGTGACCCCTCAAGCCTCTGGTACCTGAATTTAATCAGGGCAGTAGACTTTTAAATAGCTGAAAATAGGGACTGAAAGTGGCTTAGGAGCTTCAAGTCATGGACTTTCACTGGGTGCTTTTCAAAATTTTGCTTGTGATACTTTTGGTAAAATGTTCATTCTTGTAATTAATGGATCAGATCACCCCAGAGGTTCTCTATCAAGCAACTGTCTGCTGACTCTGAGAGTTGCCTTATTAGAGAAAAAAACAAAACAAAACAAAACAGAACCTCCCAACACAATAGATTTGCTTCCCACCTGGAAGCATTCAGAGGATGTAAGTGGATCAGCATTCACTTCCCTGTTTATAAAACCCAGGTTGTTCTAAATGACTTGCTAAACTGTTGAACTATTTCAAGTAATGCACTGGATTCCCCCCTCTCCCTCCCTTCCAGAGAGGCTGTTTGTGCTGGGAGGGAGGGCTGCAGGGTTGGTTTGTTTCCACGGGGAGGGAGAACCCAGCTGCCACCTTCCTGAGTGGTGAGTGGTGCTCTCGGCTGCTGGGGGCTGCCTGGGGGAGCAGTCAGTCATCTGCAGGCGGGAGACCATCCCGGCATGGGGCTGGCTGTTTATTTTCAAAGCCTTTGTACCTCAGGTTACTTGTAAGGCTGATGCTTGGGGAGTTCTGCTAAAACTGGACTGTGTATGTTCCCTGATTTGCCTGTAATTTGCGTCTTATGAAAACCAGATGGATGACTCTGTGCTCTGCAAGTTAGTATAGGGATGGGAGCTTCCAACATAAAAGCAGCTTTTACAGAAAACACTGAGTTAAGAAGATTCAAGCTCAAGCTAGATTGCTTCTTCCCTCCCCCCCTTTTGTCTATTTTTACTGCATCATTGGTATGTGTCCAAGGAAAGTCGGCCATATCATTCGGAAATACAAGGGGATAAACTTTTGACTGTCGGATCTCTTCAGGCTGAGAGACTCCAGAGTAAATGAACTGGGAGAGAGAGAATTAAAAGGAGAGATTTCTTTAGGTGAACTTTTTTGGTTGTCTGCTCTGCCAACAGCAGTGTAAAATAACGAAGAAACTGCAGCAGTCCTTTCCCACTGTCTTTTTAAACAATGTAAGTTACCCTTTCGCACTCATCTCTAACTGTCCGTGTGCTTTTTCTGCTTTTGAGTATTTTGTGAGAGCAGTGGTTTTACAGCGACTGAGCCCTTGCCAGGAGCTCTGCTGTGTGAATGAGTGAATTGTTTTGTCTTTCTTTCTCTTCTTTAAGTCAGGGCGGTAGCGGGGAACCCGAGCAGTTTGACACCACCTTTCTTTGACAGTCGTGCTAGCTTGACTTTAGACGGCTGTCGAAACCTTTAAACCTTTTCAGCGTTTGTGCAGAAATTTGTTTGTAGTTGGCAAAAGACAATAGCAAATGTTTTGATTGAACTACGTGTGTCAGGCTTGCTGTAAGAGCAGGCGTTTCAAAGGGGATTGTGTGATGCTGCGTAAACAGGACAGGATGTGACAAGGGAAAACAAATGTTTCCTGCTCTTTAATATTTAAAAGAAATAATTGAAACAGAGCCAAGAAGTTTGCCTAGGAAAGAAATAGTGATGTTTCTTCAAAGCAAAATAACGACTCTGTAAATCTGAGAGGACAATGCCAAGGTCTAATTAGGAGAGATAATTTACTTTTCACAGGTGTTCAGTTTTTTGAAGTTGGCAGTTGGCGTTAATGTTGCCATATTCTGTTGTGCTTTTGTGAAGAGTAATTTGAGCCATTACCTGGTGCGTAGCTCTCCGTAGGTTACTTATGTTGGTTGATTTCCCCCCTTTCAGTTTATTTTACTATTTTCAAAATGCAGTCTAGGCAGACTGTCAGGCAGATTGATAGGTTTAAGTAAAAACAAGGGATTATCATGATAATGTACCAGGTAATATACCAAGGATAAGACAAAAATCACCCTGAACTCAAACATTCATTAGGCCAAAACAATTGCATAAATGTTCATTTATACGGGGACAAATAAGAGAATTGTGGTGAAAGTACAATGACTAAATAAATATTTCTTAGATAAGGATGTGGCATAAGAAAAGTTGCTTTCTGTTCCAGCCTTGGATTTTTTGTCTTTGAGGGCAATGGATTTATCACCTGGATAACAGTTCTGTGGCCAACTATTGTGATTTAATCATCAGAAGTTTTTTTTCTTAACTTTCCACATTGTGGCTTATGTGAGAACTGAAATTAAATTGACTAGCAATACTAATGAGAGCCTCTAGACAATGTGAATATTTGGAATAAACTTGGGAATATAAACTGTAGGGTTTGAAAAGCATATTAAAAGGTTTGGATTGTTAAAATCTATATAAACTTGTTTATTTTAAAGCTAGTCCCATAATTATCTGGAGGATGGACTCATGATATCTAAAGCCTGGAGTGGTTATAGAGAGAAGGTACCAGGAAGCTACTGTACTGCATCGTCCTGCTAGAAAACAAAGCCAGCAGAAAGAGGAGGTTAGTCCCTGTTTCCAGAGAATTTGGGGGGGGGGGAATCATTCTGTTGGCTGCTGACAAAATGAAATAAGGCTTCTGTGCTTTGGCCCTCATCCAAAACCGCTTACCATAAACCAAAGGCTTCCTCAAACTTCTCAGCAAAGCATTTGACAAACTTGAGTTGTGAAGAAACTCCCTGGTCTGATCTGGACCTGCAATACCCACAGTTTGGCTATAAAGAACAGCTTGGGGTTTACTTCATTGAGGGCTCATTTCAGTCCTTGAGATTCATCCTTTTTCATGAGAAATGGCTTGGATACACCTTTAATGGTGTATCCAAAGCTTTCCTCAGGGAGAAGGCTAAACAGAACTTCTTTGTTGCTTCAAGGAGCACCACTAACACGTGCTGCTTGAGGGCCAGAAGGAAACATGAAGTGGGTTTTATGACAGAACCAATTCTAGATTTGATTATAGGGTTTCTGGGAAGAAGGACAAATTAAAATCATGGAAACATTTATTTCAGACAACTGGGAAAAATCTTTTGGCTTCTTTGTGTAATTCGTAAAGGAAGACAGCAAATGTATCATGCCAGATACAGAATAAAAATCAGAAGTATATATATGTTTAATGCCTTTTTTGGGAGGGATCTTAAATGTTTGTCTTTTTCATGGAAGTTATTTTCCATGTACTAACTAGAATATAAGAGTTCAGTGAAATCTTGGTTTTGAGGCTAGGTTTGAGACAAGCGGTGTCCATGGCCTGACAGCACATGCAAGTGCTGTCTGAATTCTGCTATGTCCAGCAGCATGCACAGTGTTTGGAAAATTAGACCTTACCTGGACAAAGATGGCAATACTGCTGGGGGATTTCCCCAGCCCATGATAGTATTCTTTCTCTGGCAATCCCAGTTTTATGTTGAAGGTCAGGTTGTTTACTGGAAAATCCCAGATAATTGATGCTTGAAGCCATTGTGAAAACATGCTAGGCCTGTCTTTGCCTGATAATGGAATTTCATTAATTCATAACAAAACTAGGATTTGGACAGCTTATATAAACACAGCGATGCTCCTGATGCCTTTGAGGAAAACTGAGGAATTAAATGAACTGAAAAGGTTTTGGGTGTCCTAATGCAGAGAACAAAGTGGTGTGCATTACTACAGTGAAGCTGAAAATTTAATCAACTGCATAAAGTATTAAACATATACAGTTTTGCAGAAACATATAATACTGTGTCTAGACACATGAACTATTTATACAAAACCAAAGGCACAGTGTACGGTGGGTTAGGATAAATCCCTGAGCCAAATGTAAAAGAATTGGATTTGATCAGTTGGCAAGCATATTGTCTCATCAAAATTAAATGTGCCTGAGGGTACAAGTGTAGCTAGTTTGAACTATTTGTTTATATACAGCAGCAAACATATATATTACTCCAAATAATAAATTCTGTTTATAAAGAATGATCCTTAATACAATTGCATTATAGAAGGAAATAGCTTTTCAGATTTAAATAGTTGTTTTCAGGACAGTGCCATATTCTGTATTATAAAGAGCCATTAATTCCAAAGAATGTGCTGAAAACTCCAACACAGTGTTTTTCCACCTTTTTTTTTTATTTTTTGAGCCCTAAAAATTTTCTCCTGGAATTTTGCCCATCCATATTTTGCAGGGTAACATATATGAACTTGCTTTTTTCAGTCAGCTTTCAGGGACCATGTTGAAGAAGTTCAGTGACTGTCAGATTGAAATCCACTATTGCAGATCCTACACTTGGCTGACACCTTCAACCAAAATTAGATATGCTATTTCCAGAGACTGCAGGTTGTGTTTATGTTATTGCTGATGTTTGTGGGTAAAAAAAAAAAAAGGGGGAATGGGGGGAAGCTAGCCATGCATGACACGAGTTGTTAAGAAAACAAGACTCAAACAAAATCAATATTTATTGAAAGGAATAAATGTTGGAAAGGAAATAATGATTGTTTGGAGGTTTCTAAAATACTGAAGGGAAAAGAACAGGGCTTAGCATTCACATAAATAGAGTTCACCTCTCTGTACATCCATTTTCGATAGGTTACTTTTTAAGACACACTTGCTTCTGTTAGAATTGGGCCTGCTCTTGTATTTGTTATGTGACATGAACGGATTGGAGGCAGTCCCTTGGTGTGCTGTAAGGTTTATGCTAACATGTGCCTGTAATGGAAAGAGCTGCTTGGTTGCAAACACTTAGCAAAAGCAATTTGGAAGAATTCCTGTTTTGTGAGAAATTGTGCAAGATTTCTTCTTTCTGTCGTGGTTTAACCTCAGTCAGCCCACCCGGTGATGGGGGAGACAGTTGGAAAAGCACAAGTGAGAAAAACTCGTGGGTTGAGATAAAAACAGAGTAATAATTGAAATAAAATTATGATAATAGTAATATGATGATAATACACAAGTGATGCACAATGCAATTGCTCACCACCTGCCGACCGATGCCCAGCCAGTCCCTGAGCAGCGGCCCCCCCGGCCAGCTTTCCCCAGTTTATGTACTGAGCATGATGTCACATGGTATGGAATGTCCCTTTGGCCGGTTTGGCTGTGCCCCCTCCCAACTTCTTGTGCACCTCCAGCCTTCTCAGTC